AGCAGAAACTAACACACCATTGTAAAGCAATTATACCCCGATAAAGCTGTTAAAAAAAAAATCACCTCTAAGTGTTAGTGTAAGTATACAAGCACAGAAAGAAAGAGAAAAATTTGTATGATTTACCCTACTGAATATTAAAATGCATGATAAAGCTATAGTCAATTTGGAAATGACTCAGAAATAGAACAGGGTCAAGAAATAGTTACACGTATGTGGGAATATAATATGATTAATGGTGAGACAACTAGCTATGCATTTGGGGGAAAAAAGTGAGATTACATTCTTATCCACACAGAAAGAACTTACAGCTTTAGATGGCAATTTTTTTTAAAAAAATATTTTTTTAATTTATGTATTTATTGTATAATTTGTATTTATCAATAAATAAATACACCCTGTGCGGCGTGCGGGATCTCAGTTCCCCAACCAAGGATTGAACCCAGGCCATGGCAGTGAAAGCACTGAATCCTAACCACTGGAGCACCAGAGAACTCCCACTGGTAAATATTTTTAGCATTTAAAGAAACTATATTTTCTTCAAATATTTGTATAATCCTGGGGATAAGGAAGCCGTGTTTAAGCAAACTAAACCCCGCAAGGCTAAATAAAGGTAACACTCTAGATTTCATGCAAATTAGAAACTTATTTTGATGAAAAATGTCATGAATGATACTAATAACAAATGACTAAAGAAAATTAATACTCATAATACACAAGAAACATAAATCAACAAAAAGCGATATGGAAAAATACCAAGATATTATTAAATGAAAAATAAATTGCAGAATATGTAATACACTCATTCGTGTGTATTTGTTTTATACTACATGTGTATTTGCAAGTGTACAGAACAAGTGTACAGAAAAATGTGAATGGTAGGGACTTCCCTGGCAGTCCAGTGGTTAGGACTCCTGCTTCCACTGCAGGGGGCCCGGATTCTATCTCTGGTCAGGGAACTAAGATCCTGCACACCGCAGGGCGCAGCCAAAAAAAAGAAAAAGAAAGAAATGTGGAGTGAAGGAGGTAGGTTAGCGGAGACCAGAGACATTCAGTTTTTACTCTATAGATACATGATTTTAAATTTATTTGTACAACGAGCACACTGCTTTAAGCTTCTGTAATTACATTAATGTATAAATATATTCATTATAAAAAATTTAAACCATACAAAAGATAAGGAGTTAAAAAGCAAAACTCCCTATTCAAACACATCCCCCAAACCAATCTTATTTCCCTCCTGGAAGTAATTTTCATTAACGTCTTTGCTCCCTTTTATATCTCTAAAACATTTTTTAAAGAAAGAAAGAGCCCCGGGATTTCCCTGGTGGTCCAGTAGTTAGGACTCCAGGCTTTCACTGCCAAGGGGCCGGGTTCAATCCCTGGTCAGGAAACTAAGATCCCAGAAGCCATGCAGCTGGCCACAAAAAAAAAAAAAAAAAAAGTCCTATTTTTTTAAATGGGTGAAGGAAAAAAAACAACAACAGGTAGTTACTAAAAAAAATAAATGGCTAATAAGCATATATAAAATGTTCAATTTTAATAATCACAGGAACACAAACAAAAACCATTTGCTTTCTGTGTGAAATAAGACAAAGACAAATATATGATATCACTTATATGTGGAATCTAAAAAAATAGTACAAATGAACTTATTTACAAAACAGAAATAGAGTCACAGATGTAGACAACAAACTTATGGTTGGGGTGGGGTATAAATTGGGAGTTTGGGATTGACATATACGCATTACTATATATAAAATAGGTAACTAATAAGGACCTACTGTATAGCACAGCCAACTCTACTCAATACTCTCTAATGACCTATATGGGAAAAGAATCTAAAAAAGAGTGGACATATGTATAACTGATTCACTTGGTTGTACACCTGAAAGTAACACAACATTGTAAATCAACTCTACTCCAATAAAATTTTTTTTTAAAGTTTGCTTTTTTACACATGTGCAGGGCTCCCCTGAATATTAGCTGATGGTCTGCCTGGTGGGTGTTTATGCCAAGTCAGTTTTTATTAATCTGAACATCTCCCACCCCAAGAAAACAGGCAAATATTAAAAAGTTTGAGCATTTGCAGAAACAAACCCTGTCAAACACTGAAACACCACTAGAGGGAATGCAAATCAGTTTAAACCTTTCTGTACAACTTGGCAGTAATAACAAAAGCCTTAAAAACACATAGGCCAACCCCACCCCACCCCCTACACACACACAAACACACACAAAACTATTAGAACTAATAAATGAGGTCAGCAAAGTTGCAAAGTTGTAGGATACAAGGTCAAGGATACAGAACTCAGTTGGATTTCTATGATCTAGCAATGAACAATTTGAAAATGAAATTAAGAAAATAATTCCATCTTCAATAGCATCAAAAAGAATAAAATACTTAGGAATAAATTTAACAAAAGAAATGCAAGACATGTATGAAGACTATAAAACATTGGTAAAGAAATTAGAGATCTAAATAAATGGAAAGACATCCCATGTTCATGAATTGGAAAACAATTTTTTTAAGGCGGCAATACTCCCCAAATTGATCTACAGGTTGAACACAATCCGTATTAAAATCCCAGCTGCCAGGGCTTCCCTGGTGGTGCAGTGGTTAAGAATCTGCCTGCCAATGCAGGGGACACGGGTTTGAGCCCTGGTCTGGGATGATCCCACATGCCGCGGAGCAACTATGCCCGTGCACCACAACTACTGAGCCTGTGCTCTAAAGTCTGCGAGCCACAACTACTGAGCCTGTGTGCCACAACTACTGAAGCCCGCACGCCTAGAGTCCACGCTCCGCAAAAAGAGAAGCCACCGCAATAAGAAGCCTACGCACCTCAACAAAGAGTAGCCCTCACTCACCACAACTAGAGAAAGCCCGCGCGCAGCAACAAAGACCCAATGCAGCCAAAAATAAATAAATAAAATAAATTTATATATATAAAAAAAGAAAAATTTGTTTAAAAAAAATGCCAGCCGCCCTTTTTGCAGAAATTGGCAACGTGATACTAAAATTCAAGGGCTTGTATTTGGAAATACAAACCAAAACCACTATGAGATACCACTTCATGCCTTGTAGGATGATTAGAATCAAAAAGAAAATAAATCTTGGTGAGGATGTGGAGAAACTGGAACACTCATATTGCTGTTGGGATTGTAAATCAGTGCAGCCACTTTGGAAGCAGTCTAGCAGTGCCTCGAAATATTAAACAAAGAGTTACCATATGATCCAGCCATCCCTTCCTAGGTAAATGCCCAAGAGAACTGAAAACTATGTCCACAGAAAAACTTATACATGAAGGTTCACAGTAGCATATTCATAATAGTCAAAATGTGGAAACAACCCAAATGTCCATTAACTGACAAATGAATAAACAAAATGTTATATATATATATAATACAATGAAATATTATTTGGCAACTAAAGGAATGAAGTACCGAGACATACTACAGCCTGGATGATCCTTGAAAACATTATGCTAAGTAAAAGAAGCCAGACAGAAAGGGCCACATATTGTAGGATTCCATTTATAAAGAAATGACCAGGATAGACAAATCCATAGAGGTAGAAAGTAGATTAGTGGTTACCAAGGGCTGAGGCCAGGGGAGACCAAGGAGTGACTGCTAACAGGTAGAGGTTTCTTTTTGCTGTGAAAGAAATGTTCTAAAATCAGAAGTGAAAGCTGTACAAATGTGAATATCCTAAAAACCCCTAAACTGTACACTTTTAAAAGATCAACTTTTCGTGAATGATATCTCAATAAAGCTGCTTTTTAGGGCTTCCCTGGTGGCGCAGTTGTTGAGAATCTGCCTGCTAATGCAGGGGACACGGGTTCGAGCCCTGGTCTGGGAGGATCCCACATGCCGCAAAGCAACTAGGCCCGTGAGCCACAACTACTGAGCCTGCGCGTCTGGAGCCTGTGCTCCGCAACAAGAGAGGCCGCGATAGTGAGAGGCCCGCGCACCGCGATGAAGAGTGGCCCCCGCTTGCCACAACTACAGAAAGCCCTCGCACAGAAACGAAGACCCAACACATTAATAATTAATTAATTAATTAATTAATTAACTCTTACCCCCAAAATCGTCAAAAAAAACAAGCTGCTTTTTAAACACGGCTATGCCCAAACTCATAGAACTCTACACTAAAAAAGGTAAATTTTACTGTATACCTCTATAAATTTGACTTTAAAGAAGATTCATATACCCTGTTACTCAATTCTAAGTACTCATCTGTAGAAAATATTAAAGACCACCCAGAAAGATGTAGCTTAAAGAATGTTTGTTACAACACTGTCACAGAAAAGAAAGAAACCTAAACTGAGCAGCAGGAACCTGGATATTTATGGAACACTAGGTGGCCTTCAAGAATGCCAGAAGAGAGCTTCCCTGGTGGCGCAGTGGTTAAGAATTCACCTGCCAATGTAGGGGACACAGGTTTGAGCCCTGGTCCAGGAAGATCCCACATGCCGCAGAGAAACTAAGTCCGTGCGCCACAACTACTGAGCCCGCATGCCACAACTACTGAAGCCTGTGTGCCTACAACCCATGTTCCACAACAAGAGAAGCCCGTGCACCGCAACGAAGAGCAGCCCCCACTCACCGCAACTAGAAGAAAGCCCGCGGTGCAGCAACAAAGACCCAATCAGCCAAAAATAAATTAATTAAAAAAAAAAAAAAGAATGCCAGAAGAAATTAATCACTGATGGGGAAAGGTAACTTATCAGGTCTCCCCAGAAACTGGCACATTTAGATTGGGTAATCTGAGCAGAGTTTAATAAAGGTCTTATTTAGAAAGCAGGGTGCAGAAGACCACAAGCCATAGCGCGGTGCCTGGCAAGAGGAAGCGGCTGGGAGTGACCAGTCAGCAGAGCCAGGGAAAACAGCCGAGTGCAGAGGGCTGCCAGACGGCCCGCCCAGCACGGAGGGACACAGCCAGGCTGCTGAGCCCCAGCAGGGAGGAATCCCAGGAACCTGCTCCCCTCCCACCTTACAGCCTCCTGCGGGTGCCGGGAGGACATCGGAATCCAGTGGGACATCAGAGGGGACCCTGGACACGATCCGTGCAAGTCAGCCTGCAGGGTGGAGAGCCGGGTGGAGAGTGCATCCAAGTGACAAATGGAAGATGTCCAGCACAGATGGTCACAGCAGTAAACAAGGAGTGGTTTACAAGTGACTACATTTAAAAAAAAAAAAAAGATAAGTAACATACAACCACTTAAGAAACTCTAGAATGGTTTACTCCAAGGGGTAAACAGTGGTTCACCCAGAGTTCCTCAACGGTGGTGCTGTTGGCAGCTGGCAAAGCAATTCTTCATGGTTGGGTACTGCCCCAGGCACTTTAGGACATTAGCCTCCCTGGCCCCCAGGGCACTAAACACCAACAGAAACCTCAGGCATTACAATAACCAAAAATTTTTGAAAAGCCTCCCCACTCCCAGACATGGGTTGGTACCATGCCTGACAGTAACCACCGTGAGGGTGAGAATTAAAGGGTGTTTTTTTTTTCTTACCTGCATTTTTATAATTTTTCTACCAAGACTAGGTATTGTTTTTGTGAAGCAGAAAAAATATGTTCACTATTCTTTAAAAAGAACTCAACAGAATAGAATAATTTAGATTCCAGCTCTCGGGAAACCCTATTTTGTTCTTCCCCTAACTTTGCTCATGACAGTAAGTAAATGAAAGGCGATCTGACATTATTACACGGATGACATAACTCATTTTGAAATCACCAATAACAGGAAGGGTGAGATTAACTCACCTTCTGACAAATCACTTTTATTCTTCATATACTCATAGCCGTTATGAGATCACAGCATCCTACGAGTCACAGGTCAAGTACTAGATTGCTTCCAGCTTGTTATAAAACTTTAAAAGGAAGGAAACCATTACAATTTGGTTTCTACACGATGCTACATTGGCACAGCCTAGAGTATTTTAGCAGGTTTACCTATTACCACTCACCCCTGTGAGAAAGCCAGGGCAAGGGATTTTGACAACAGATTTGGGGAAACATTGTGTTTTGTTCTCTATTACTTCCCCCAGGCTCAAGCAGGGAGTCAGGTTCTTAGCAATTCTTTGTCTCAGTATTTTGTATTTTCAAGGCAGAAAGTGTGCCTTCTGGGGGCAGGTCTAACTTAATCTCAGGACTGGAAGAGTAATAGTTTGAAACCGCCCTGCCGCCATCCTGGGATAAAGAAGCAGTGGTACAATTTTTCACTAAGTTCAAGAAACCATCCATTGTAAGCTGCATCCTGACCCAGATATTAAAACATGAACAAAAAATGATCTTGGGTCAATAAAACATAGTATACCATTTAGGGTGATCCTTAGCATTTTTAATTTTAAAAGTTCTTCTAACGTAAAAAAATATTTTTAGTTTAATAGGCTCACATTACTGATGACAGTTTAAATTAATACAGCTTTGGGGAAAGATAACTTCAGGATATATATCAAAACAGAATATGTAAATTTGTATACCCTTTGACACATCAATATATACTTTAAGGAACTTTCCCTCAATAAAGTCAACTGGAGGGTTTCCCTGGTGGCACAGTGGTTAAGAATCCGCCTGCCAGTGCAGGGGACAAGGGTTTGAGCCCTGGTCTGGGAAGATCCCACATGCCGCAGAGCAGCTAACCTGTGCGTCACAACTACTGAGCCTGAACTCTAGAGCCCGTGAGCCACAACTACTGAGCCCATGTGCCACAACTACTGAAGCCTGCGTGCCTAGAGCCCGTGCTCTGCAACGAGAAGCCACCGCAATGAGAAGCCCACGCACCGCAATGAAGAGTAGCAACCGCTCGCTGCAGCTAGAGAAAGCCCGCGCGCAGCAACGAAGATCCAACACAGCCAAAAATAAATACATAAATAAAATTAATTAATTAAAAAAAAGAAAAGAAAGTCACTGGAAAAGTGTGGAAAGAGAGGGAAAAACAGGAAGATTGCTACACCACTGGCTATACTAGTAAAACCTAGAACATGTTAGTTTTAAAACAGAAAGCTGAGGAAATCAAATATAGTACTTCTATATGACAGAAAACTGTAATAATGCAAGAGATCCAAGACCCTGAAAAATGTTCATGGTAAGTAAACACAGCAGTTAACAAATCCATGAGAAAAATTATAAGAAAATACATGCGTAGGGGAAAAAAAGTATAAAAGGAATTTCAGAAAAAAAAACTAAGAAAATGGAAAGATAAAAAATCAATTAAAAAAAAATCTCCTTAAACGTCCATGAGTTTTCCTGATTGAGAGAACACACCAGGTCCTTAGTGCCTCCTATGAAGGCACATCATTACGATGTTACAGTTCTCTGGGGAGAAAGAAGATTCTACAAGCTTCCAGAAAGGGTGGGGGGATGGGGATCAAGAATTGGAATTTTTTTAAAGAATTATAAGAGCTAGAAGATAACAGAGGAATACGTTCAAAATTCTGAGGGAAAACAATTTCCAATCTACCATTCTTTACACAGTCAACCTATTAATCATGTGTAACAGTGGAATCAAGATATTTTGAAAGATGCAAATCTCGATTTACACATGCATCCTTTCTCAGGAGACTACCAGAGGCTGTGTATTTCCCCAGCGGCAGTGAGTCAAGACAGAGAAGGGCACAGGTCATGGGAAGGAGGGGGTCCAACCCAGGAGGGAGGGGAAGAGAATCTCCAGGGTGACACGCAGGAGATCCCAGGCCATTAGCTGTGCCCAGGTGAGCAGGCTGGGTGGGAGGAGGTGAGTAGCTCCCAGAGAGGATTGGTCAGAAGGATGACCCTGACTGAGTACCTGCTGTGTCTCAGTTTCCTGAGAGGGGATTCAAACAACTAAGGTAAAGTTAGTGTCTAAATATCTAGAGAACTAAAACACGGAAATAGAATTACAAACTGCAGAGAAAACAAGAAATTGGGCAGAAAAGGAAAAGCACTCATAGACCACTCAGTGGCTCCTCTGTGAACAGTGTTTCCTGTATCCTAAGGTAGCACTGGTTAGTGATGTAACCCAAAGACAGGAAAGGTGTATGTATAATGGGGGTGGGGAAGAGGTGGTCCAAGAGAGCTAAAGCCTCATCTTTCAGAATGGGAAGCCACTGAATAACATCTACAATTTGGGGGGGCGGGGGGAATCAAGAACCAGCGATGGTGGGGGAAACTTACATTTTTACCCATAGAACCATGACTCTTTAAAACTTGTGCATATATAGACGTGTTAAAAATAAAAACCCAACTCTAGTAGTTATAAGGACAATTTTTCTTACATATTTTTCCATTTTTTTCAAAAAACGTATTGAGGGGCTTCCCTGGTGGCGCAGTGGTTGAGAGTCCGCCTGCCGATGCAGGGGACATGGGTTCGTGCCCCGGTCCGGGAAGATCCCACATGCCGCGGAGCGGCTGGGCCCGTGAGCCATGGCCACTGGGCCTGCGTGTCTGGAGCCTGTGCTCCGCAACGGGAGAGGCCACAACAGTGAGAGGCCCGCGAACCGCAAAAAACAAACAAACAAACAAATTTTAAAAAAAGTATTGAAATCGTAAAGTATACATGCCAACGTATCAACAGTGGTTATTTCTAGTAACGCGATTGTGGACCATTTACATTTTTTCTTTCACTTTCCAACTTTCGGAAAAAGTATGTAACATGGAGTTTATTGACCATAAATCAGAAAACAAGAGGTGTTTTACTTTAAGCCTGGTCCACATCCACCACAGGGTAAAAGCCCCATCTCTGTCATTTTAGCTTCTGCTCTTTCTGCTGGAGCAGGGGAGACTGCCAACTCCTTCATTCACACAGCAAATATTTGTTGAATTCCTATAAGCCAGGCCCTGCACAGTGATTCCAATACCCCAGCTTTTTTTTGGATCTCCTGAAGGCCTCAATGCCAGCTGGGGAAACCAGCTGGGGCATGGGCTAAGCCAACACTTCAAACTCCTCGTGCACTGGATACACCTGGGATTGGTTCAGTTGGTCTGGGTTGGGCTCTGAGGCTCTGGAGGAGCAAGCAAGCTACTTGATGTGCACAGGTTTTGCTGAAGGTTTCTCAGAGGAATCACTGGGGTCCTCAGTCACTTCGGCACCATCATGGCCCCATATAGGCTAGATTTCAATCCCACAAATGTTTAAGTGAAAGTATACGAGATACAGCAAAAGGGGCGCTGCTTAGACAGCTGCAAGGGATGCCCCTTGGCAGTTAAGAGCAGGACTCTGGAGTAAGGCAGGCCTGGGTTTGAATCCCACCTCCACCACCCCCAGGTGCGACCTACTTCCTCTCTCTGAGCCTCAGTCTCTTCACATGTAAAATGAGATAATAATTAAAGCTACATTCACAGGATAGGGTTGTTGTGTGGTACATGAGAGCACGAAGGCATCTAAAGCGCTTGACGAGACCCTGGCACAGGATGAAGACAATAAACAGTGGCAACCACTAGCTGTTAACACGGCCGGCGTCCTTTCTCAGCCACGATGGGACCTAAGGGGCGATCACTTGACCTCTCAGCCTCCATGTCTTCCTATGGAGAGGAGAAGGCACATGCCCGGCCTCCTCCCCAGGAACGTTCTGAGTCTTAAACCAGGATGTGCACAGCACCAAACAGGAGACCCTTTGGTCTTCAAAGAGCACCAGACAGGAGACCCTCAGATTTTATTCAGTAAATGTCTCCTGATTCACCTCGATTTTACTACCAGGGAGATAAATTTAAAAAAAGAAAAAGTCTTCTCCTCTCCTCTGATCTTCGTAAAGTTTTTCTTTTAGGGAAAAGGCCACCCAGGTAGAGAGCAGATAAGGGAGGCGCCAGGTGTCCCTGACACTCATTAACGCAAACTCAATGCCCACCAAGCATCCTGCTCTCAGAACACACCACGACCACAGAGAGGACCCAGCAAGTCGAGTTTCTCTCCAACGGACCTCCCAAGGGTCACGACCGTCTCCCCCAAAAGAGCCCAAGGTGATGAGACCTCGTTCAGAGAGGGGGTCTCTGAGTTCGGCACCTGGGGATGAAGAAGAGGCTGAGCAAAAAGGATTCCTTCGAAGCCCTCCCGAGCATGTGAACAAGCTCCCAGGCGAGGAGGACGGCGCGGGGCCCACCTGCGCCCCTGCCCCCAGCCCCGCCCGCCCGGAGGCACTCACGATCTCCGCCACGATGAGGAGTCCGGGCAGGGTGCGGAGGAACTCGCGGTCGTAGGCGAAGCTGCTGCTGGTGGTGGAGAAGTTCTCCGCGAAGGAGCTGGCGGTGGTGGTGACGGTGTGCGAGCGGGCGCGCTGCGGCTCTTCCATCGTCGCGCCCCGGCCGGGCCGGCCCCGCCTCGGGGACCCCCGGCGCGTCGGGGCTGGCCACGCGGCCCTGAGCCCGGGGACACCGGCGGGGGGGGAGGGGAGCGCGGCGGCGCGGGGCCCAGGGCGCGCGGGGGGCACCGCCTGGATCCGTCCGGCCGCAGTGCGTGTCCGTAGAGTGCGCGGCCTCCCCTGCTCCTAGGCGCGCGGGCTCTCGGCCTGCGCGGGGGCCCCGGAGCAGGAGACCAGGCGAGGGGAGGCCGCCAGCAGCCCAGGGAGGCGGCGAAGGCCGGGCGGAGGGGAGGGGGCGTGGAGAGGGGCGGGCGCGCGGCTGGCGGGGAGAGACCGCCCCGCGGAGGCGCTGAGGAGCGGCGGCCGCTTCACCTGTTGCGGGGTTCACGGACGGAGGGCGCGCTAGCGCGCGCGGGGCGGCAAGCTGCACAGAGAGTTGGGGCAGGAGGGCGCGGGGAGTGGCGGGAGGGAGGGCGGGCGCGGGGAGTGGGAGGAGGGAGGGCGGGGGTCGCGGCCGCTCCGCCAGGCCCCGCCTCCCGGGGGCGGGCCGCCGTTAACCTGTCTCCTTCCACCTGGCGGCGGCCAGCCCTGGGTCCTTGGACCCCGAGGAGAGCCAGGCCTCCGGGCCCTGCGGCTCCGGGAATGGAGGGTGTGGGGAGGGGCGGTGACTCTAGGGGCGTAAGAGCGGCTGGAATTACGATCCGGCCGGACCTTAGACCCGAGATCGATGCGAGGCCGCCGGGACGGTCCAACCAGAGCTTCTCCCCCTGCCGCCGCTTCCGCTGCCGAAGCCCGGCGTGATTTCTTGCCCCTCCTGCCAGGAACAAATTTGAGGAACCAACTTTTTCGCCGGGTTTGGAAAGCGAGATGCTTCTTGGCGCTCGCAGTGGCTCGATCGCCGGGATCCGTGGAGCCTCGGGGCCGGCACCTGGCCCGGAGATAAGAGCGGGGAGATATTTGGGATCCCTGGTCATGATGAATCAGTGTCCCATAACCCTCGGGAGGAAATGTTGGAGGAAAGCTTGAACGGTGTGTGTGTTGTGCAAACTGAAGTTTCTGACTAACGGGCTGTATTTTCCTGGGGTGCGGGAGAGGATGAGGGAGCCCCACACAGTGAGGCAGCTTGTTAGAGGGTCGGGCTGACCCGAGCTCCAACACCGGCACTTGCATTTCTCAGCTGTGTGACCAGGAGCAAGGGCCTCCACCTCTCTGTGCCTCAGTGGTGCCATCTGCAAAATGCGTAGATGGGCGCCTTGCCAACAAAAGCATCTTCATGGCGCTCTCTCCTTTTGTATTGTGAAAGGATGGC